CTATCAATTTCCTTAGCCTTCTCTCCAACCCATTTAAGTTCCTGTAAGGGAACCTATATTCCAAGTTCCTATCCTAATTTTAGTTTCATGGACTAGCTTCTTTGCCCACATCCTTCCTTCATGTGGGAACCCTTGCCTATTTAACACTGCACCCGAGCGCCGGTGCAGCGACCCTTGCACACTTGTCACTGTATCAGGCCATACAGCGCGTCGCTTCCAAGGGACGCCCTAGCATTAACACTATTTCTTAAAGGAATCATCACCAAAGCATAAATAAGAAATATTTAAACCTCTAAAGTTAATATAAGTAAAACCATTATACTTAGAGAATAAATTATAAGAACCTCTTGAGCAATGATAAAAATAATGTGCATATTCAGGAGCAATGATATACATAGCAAGTGAAAGTGGATCACCCTGTTCGACACCTTGGGAAGCCTTAAATAAAACATGGGATTTGTCATTAATAATAACAGAGTACCAAACATTCTCAATAATGTTGCTAATTAAAGTAATAGAATTCTCCTTAAACCCAAAAAGCTTCAAGATAATATTAATAAAGGATCAATTAATGTTATCTTATGCTTTAGAAATGTCCAGCTTCAACACCACAGTATGACTAGCCACCTTATGATGGATATCTTAAATAGTTTCTTGAGCAAGAATCATATTGTCATAAATATTCCTACCCTTAACAAAACTAGATTAGTTAATAGATATGATATAAGGGAGAAGGGAGGTCATAAAAGAGGCAAGAATTAAAGAAAATAATTTAGTGAATGTAGTGCTTGTAGTAATGAGATGAAAATCACTCTAGCACTCAGGACTAACACGTTTAGGAATAAGAACTAAAGGAGCACTAGTAAAATATTTGGTAAGAGGCATTCCATTGAAGAAACTACACAGTTTTACACAAGTCATTTTTAATAATGTGCCAACATTTTTGAAAAAAAAAATAGTGGTAAGACTATCATAGTCGGCCACCAAAGTCCTTATTCATAGCTATATGATAAATGTTAATTTCAACCTCATCAAGACATTTAGCAAAGTGATGATTATCAAGATCCTTAATTATGAAGGGGGTAAAATGAGGATTGGAAATGCTCTCCATGCATTTAGAAAAATCAAGTAAATTCTTAAAGTGATAAACGACAGAGTTGTAAATAGAATCCTCATTTTCAACCCTAGATTCACTATCCAACTTAATTTTATGAATAAAAAAAATCTTTTTCTGTTGTTGATACAAGCATGATAATATTTGGTGTTCCTCACCATCATAAATGAATTTAGAATAAGCCTTTTGACACAAAAACACTTCTTCTTTAAGATGTAAATTAGAGAGAATATTTTTAGCATTGAATAGAAGGGCTTTGTTCTCATCAGAAGCATTACAAATAAAGTTATCCTCCAGAAGAAAAATCTCCATTACTGCTTTGATAATATTATCAAATAAATTACTAAAAGCATACTTATTCCACTATCTAATGACCTTCTTGAGCATTTTAAGCTTGAGAGACAAAATAAAAATATCATTGAAACCCTCATAGTAAGAAGTGGGAGCAAGCCAATTATCATGGACAATATTAAAAAAATCATTATTAAATAGGAGCCACATATTTTGAAACTAAAAAGAACCATAACCAGAGAAGGACAATTGTTTAATTTTAATGAAAAGAGGGGCATTCTCCAATATAGTTCTACTAATATGTTTCACAGAGGTATTATGAGAAAGAGAGATCTAATCTAGGTTAAAGAGGCATCCAATCTCTCGCAAAATTTATAGTTAGACCAAGTGTTTATAGGACCAATGAAACCAATATCCACAAGACCACATTCTAAATTCATGTTATTAAAATCATCAATAGCATATAGAATAGGAGGAGAACCTCCAATCCTTTTAGAGGCATTAAAAATAATGTTAGAATCCCCACCAACAAACCAAGGACCTATAAAATAACAAGAAAAATCATACAATTGTTGTCATGAAGGAATCCTATCAGCTTTAGTGCACTTTGGATAGCAAATAGAACCCACCACCAAAATGTTGTTAATAAATAAATTATAGTGGATAACTTATTCAAATTAAGCAATAATCGAAAGCTTAATATCTTCCTTCCAAAGTAACCAAATTTTACCATTAGAGTTGGCATAAGAAAATTAAAAGCCCAATTAATGCTGGAAAATAGAAAGCTTTGAACAATTGACCTTGGGCTATAGAATAGCAGAAAATCAATATTATGGATCCAACAGAGATTATGAATATGAGATCAATAGATAAGGTCTCCCAAGCCCCTAACATTCCAAATAAGTGAATTACTAAAAAAACTGATTTTGTTTACAGCTTTAGACCTAGTAGATATCGAGTTAGATGCTAACAACTCATGATTTTTCTTTTTAGAAATACTTTTATTTTTTTAAAATTAGGGGATAACTTGTAATGCTTCAAGGACCCATGAATAGCATTGAGTGTAGGAATATTGTTAAGCATAGAGTTGAAATCATCATTTGATTGAATTTCACTTTATTCCCAATTGGAATTAGTTCTATCAGAAGGACATTCCTCCTCATATGAAACAAAGGACACATTTGAAGAGATCTTTAGAGCATTATTGTCATTAGTAACGTTAAGATCACTCTTCACACCCAAATTGGAAGAGGGAAAAGAAGTAGTACAAAGAAAATTTATAGTAGGAACCACATTCACTGTCTCATTAGATTTCTCATTACTAATGATGATGTCACCAGAAGTATATTCAGAAATAGAAGGAATGATAACAATAAGGTCAATTCCCTAAGACTTTTCTTTATGAAATTGATTATCATTAGGCATATTGACATTAGGTGTATCATTAGGAACAGAAATAACGGGATTAGATTACTCAACATTAGATATAGGGTTGTTAGAGCTCACATTAGCGTCATTCTCAACACCATTCTCGGTGACAACATTCAATGGTTTCTTATGGGCCATATTCTAATCCCTGAAATGAGGGTGTAAGTGATAACACAAAGATTTATTATGCCCATGGCATTTACAGTGATCGCAAAAAGTAGGAAAATCATTCAAAACAACTTTTTGTATAAACATAAACTTCACCAGTCCAACCGAATTTGAATAAAGGTAAGTCTTTGAAACATCTAATTCAACTAGGAAGCGAGCAATAGAGGGCCAGCGTTTTGGAACTTGTAGCATTGTAAGTTTGAAGAGGTCTACCAAATAAAGACCCCAAACCATGCAAAATATGATGGGAGAATAAATGAGGTTGAAGGTCAAGGAAAGATATCCAAATATAAAGGATTAGAGATTCAACATAAACATCAAACATTGGAGACATTTTATTAATGTAATGAGGTAATTATTAATGTAGTAGGCCCAACGAGCAAAGTTTCAACTGTAATCCAGATCATTAGAGATCTTGATTAAAACATGCCTGGAGTTTAAGAGAGTAACAGAGAATTTCCCAAGAAATTTAAGGGAGAAAAAAATTTATAGATCGGGTAAAAAATAAGGCAACAGAGGGGAAACTTACCCACAAGATTAAACTCAAAGGGGGCTGCAAGCTCTTGGATTTCTGATGAAAGTAACCCGCAGTGTGTAATATGCTTAAGATCTAGAAAACAAGATGTGGCATGAGAACTAGCAAATGCCTCCTTGAAGGACTTAGACTGGTTCTTAGATGCTAGAAAACCAGGATCATACCTCTTAAGAAGACTATTAAACATTATGAATGAGGATGGATACATGGAAATTATCAACATCCAAATGAATCCACAAGATAACGAAAAATTGATCACATAGGATGCAAGATTGTGGGCCAAAACTTAGTAAAACTAAAAGTTAAAGGAGGAAAGAGAGAACTCTCCTCAGCTGGTGTTGGAAGGTGATTGTGAAGAGACGCAATGGATAGAAACTATAGCAGAGCTCTAATTTCAAAAGCTAAGAGATAAAAAGTGCTTTTAGTTTTCATTCATTTTTATAAGAGTTGATCCAAATACAAAATAAAAGAAATCATCAAAACCAAAAAATGAAAAGCATTTCACAAAGAATGTATTTTCTTTCAAATGCACAATTAATAAAAATAAATCAAATAAGGAAATAACACCATATCAAGAAATTAAGAACAAAATAAATTGTACTACTATTAGTGAAAATTTTGTTTCATTTTACAATATCCTCTTTTTCTTTAAAGACTCCTCACTTAATAATTTTGTGCATAAAAATTCAAATAAAGAACTTAATTTTTTTAGAAAAAATACCAAGCACAGCAACATCAACCTCTAGAGCTCCACAGCATTCAAGGAAACATCCAACTTAAGACTAAAAGTAAGACATCGTGTCATGCAACTAACTAGTGTCGTGCCATCCAACCACATAGCTCTGGATCGCCCACAACACCATGGTGCCCTCAGCTTCATATAGCTTTGCTTTAAGTAGATTAAGTTATGGTACTTGATAACGAGTCTTGATGTGAATACAAAACACAACAATGAAGATATCAAATGCCCATAACACTGACAAACCCTTCTCTAAAAAATATTATCCTTAAAAGTAAAATTTTTAATCTTTTAATGCTAAAGAGACCTAAATCTATAGCCTATGATGCACCGACACGGACACGTCGACACGGACACGGGACACGGCATTTTTTAAAAATATAGGACACAGGTGCGGCGTGGACACGACATAATAATTTTTTA